CCAATCCTCTCCTCCCTCATTTCCGTTCCTTCTTCCTATCCACCGTAGCGGAAAAGTCTCATTTAAAATACGACGTGGTCCTGCACCAAAATGAGCAGGAGCTCCATCATGCTGAAACCATATTTCTTGGAAATTATTTGGAAAAGTATTCTGTATGGCTGGAATTATTTGATCAACAAGTAATCTCTCATACCTTTGAGCGTTCAAATATTCTTCAAAAAAAAACGGCCCTATTAAATAGCCATCTATTATTCCGCACCATACATTTATTTTTTGTGGATGTTGTGTGTGAGTTTCCCGCACCCAATTCGGATTCTCATCTGACCAGAAACGAAAATTTTGATTATTAACTTCTCCCGTTAAGGTAAAAGTTGCCTCGTCTGTGAAAACAATTTGATAAGGGAAGATGGGCCGGACATCTATTAGTGCCATCATTCTTTCACAGAAATGTATACGACGCTCCTCATCTCCGTTTTGCAATTCTTGAACGTATTGCAATTTATATGGATGGAACTTGTTCTTCTTTAAAATTCTCCAAACCGACATGGGAGCAATATCGTGAGTTTGAGCGACTCTCTGAACACTAGAATTGGGATCTTCAATAAATGTCTGCAGAACATCAAGTTGTTTTTCTTCGTTGGTTGCAGACAATGGTCTTCCTGACTTAGAGCGATTTCTTACGCTACCAGTTTGTCTAAAACGTTCTATTGTTTTTAACACAGTGGACTTATTAATTCGACGGTTCGGATACGTGTCATTAAATAATCGAACGACATCAGAGAACGATCTTTCGTTATCACCCCATCCACGCATCATGAGGATAGTGATTCTTTCACGTTCCGACAAGTCGCCAGCCATTTTTAAAACGTTTAATTTTAATTAATCGTACGTTGTATTTGGACGATAACAATTAATTTCTGCTTGCTCAAAGCTGAAGTTAGAAGGTGCTCGTTCTTTGATAGCTTTATACATTCTTAGTTGAATTTTAAATGCGAGTTAGACTGCATGTAGTGCGTCACATAGCGGTAAATGAAGGAACTAACGAGACGTTTCATACACGTTTTATGGAGCAATTTTTTGGCAATTTGACTTCAGCGAAATATGAGGATATGTTGAGGAATCGATCTTGCCTTAGTTAGCTGGATCACACACACAACAGATGCAAATCCGAGCGAGTAACCTCCATGTAGTACACCTTGGATAATGTTAATACCGGCGCTACTCTATCATTCAACCCTCATAACTCGCAAAGTACTTAATAAAAATGAACATTATTATAGTGTTTTGGAAAGCTCTTGAATTAAGCTATAAGAATATGCAATCAAATGTAGGGGGTGTCATTTAAAAAAGTCAATGTGACCTTGACCTGACCTTGACGACGCCATCCAAGGTCAAACTGATAGAATCAGTATATAGATCTTCTTAAACCCTACAACTTTTGTTGGAAACACTTTTCTGTAAAACGTATATTTTCCGAGATATTTAGGGGTTTCCACACTTTTGGTAGACCCTGTATACAGGGTGTCCCTAAATTCGCGCCCACGGAGTACAAGGCGTGATACTTTAGGCTAAAAGAAATAACTTTTTCCTTTAGCAAAATTGCGTGCGATAAGTAGTTTTTGAAGGAGAGCAGGTTGAAGTAAACCAATAGGCGTTCTGGTGTAAGTGGCGCTCAGGGCCGGCGCGCGCGCTTCGCTCACTTGTATCAAATTCTTGACTAGTATTTACAAGTAATGTTAAAACATTAATGCTTTGTTATAATTAGTTTACTATGAATTTATTTTTATCTTAGTTATGATTTTATTTTAATTATACATATAATTAGTTAGATTATACTTACAGATTATACTTAGACTATACTTAGATTATACTAGATTATACTTAAGACTCAAATAATAAGAATCAACTTGAATACTGAACCGTGATCTTTTTCCATATTGTATTTTTTCAAAAGTGAATAATTAACAAAATAAATATTGCTTTTATTTCTTACGTAATAAAAGATAAAAGAATGTCTGATTTCGTAGATCTATCTGAAAATAGAGACAAATGTAAATAGTAATGTGCTTTGCGAGCTAAACCTAATGCCGGCGGCACAATTGATATTTTTGTAGAAAATTTTCCAAAATGTAAGAAAATGATGAAAAAAGAAAAAAATTTAGAAGAATAGAAACGCGTTTAGCTCGCAAAGCATTACTATTTACATTACTATTTACATTTGTCTCTATTTTCAGATAGATCTACGAAATCAGACATTCTTTTATCTTTTATTACGTAAGAAATAAAAGCAATATTTATTTTGTTAATTATTCACTTTTTAAAGAATACAATATGGAAAAAGATCACGGTTCAGTATTCAAGTTGATTCTTATTATTTGAGTCTTAAGTATAATCTAGTATAATCTAAGTATAGTCTAAGTATAATCTGTAAGTATAATCTAACTAATTATATGTATAATTAAAATAAAATCATAACTAAGATAAAAATAAATTCATAGTAAACTAATTATAACAAAGCATTAATGTTTTAACATTACTTGTAAATACTAGTCAAGAATTTGATACAAGTGAGCGAAGCGCGCGCGCCGGCCCTGAGCGCTACTTACACCAGAACGCCTATTGGTTTACTTCAACCTGCTCTCCTTCAAAAACTACTTATCGCACGCAATTTTGCTAAAGGAAAAAGTTATTTCTTTTAGTCTAAAGTATCACGCCTTGTACTCCGTGGGCGCGAATTTAGGGACACCCTGTATACAGGGTGACCCATTTTAACTTAAGCAGCCAAATAACTCGAAAAATAAGCACACTACGAAAAAATGGTTAGAATCAAAATTTCGTAATTTCGAGGGGGACGTACAATGACGTTAAAATCAGCCCCCCCCGCCCCTCCCCCTGGGCGGTGAGGGGGGGCAAGTTTGAAATCTTAATTGGAACCCCCTATTTTTCATTGCATATTCTTGTAGCTTATCTCGAGAGCTTTCCAAAACACTATAATTAAGTACCTTTTTATTAAGTACTTTTTGAGTTATAAGGCTTGAAATAATTTCTTAATTTTACATAAACCATAAAATATCTAGTAAACCATTCATTTTTCGATTATCTTACCTTCATACTTTTATGTACAAAATAATGAGAGGAATCAATTGGTGTAAAGAAAACACATAGTTGTTTCTAAGAAAAAATATGTAATTTGCAATTAACAATTCCATATTTTTTCTTAAAAACAACTGTATGTTTTCTTTACACCAATTGATTCCTCTCATTATTTTGTACATAAAAGTATGAAGGTAAGATAATCGAAAAATGAATGGTTTACTAGATATTTTATGGTTTATGTAAAATTAAGAAATTATTTCAAGCCTTATAACTCAAAAAGTACTTAATAAAAAGGTACTTAATTATAGTGTTTTGGAAAGCTCTCGAGATAAGCTACAAGAATATGCAATGAAAAATAGGGGGTTCCATTTAAGAAATTGAAGGTAATCTTTATGTGACCTTCAAATGACTATCCAAGGTCAAATCTAAGGTCACCGTCGGATTGCCCGGGAAAAATCCTACAACTTTTGTCTAGGTCATTTTCCTCTGTGATGCGTATTTTTCAAATTATCCAGCCGTCCCGGAACTTTTGACACACGCTGTATATATATATATATATATATATATATATATATATATATTCATATACTTCATACACTACATATTTTATAGTCTTTACATATCTTATTATTACATATTCTACACATATTATATATATATATATATATATATATGCAGAATATACATATATATATATATATATATATATATATATGTATATTCTATACACTTTTTATTACATTGTAACTACGATATAACTACATTTAAATATGCATAAACACTCCAGCTTATAAGCGTAATATAAAATACATAAGAAAAAGCAATAATTATATAATTTTTAATAATATTGCGATGAATATTATAAAAGTCAACATCCTTCACATATGCGTAAAAATATGTATTTCCATTAATGCATTTGCGTTTTAAATTGGCAAATTGTATCGTAATTCAAGCATTTGTCAAGTATTTGAAATAATCGTAATTTAGGAATAACGAGTTTTTTGTCTCAACTTTTGCTTTAGAAAAATTATGTAGTAAAAAATATACAATTATTATATATCTCTCTCATTCCTTTAAAAGTAAAATAAAAAAGGGGAAAAGAAAATTTTTAATATATAGATATATTACATTTACTATAGAATGGTCAAAAAGAGAAAAAAAATAAAAAATAATATTAAGCATCCAAAATTTAACATGCCCCTGTTTCCTATATTTAACAGGAAGCGCTATATACACACACACATATATATATATTTATTTTATATATTATATATATTATATTTATATATATTATATATATATATTATATAATATATTATTATAATATATTATTATTATATATAATACTAGCTGCCCGACCCGGCTTCGCACGGGTGATGTGCCTAATGAAAAATATAAGACATAATCTTACGTTTAGAAAATTAAAATCCAAAAATTTGATCATACGTAAACACCTATTGTAATGCCTTATAGTGTAATATTTTTAGTTTTTCCATATGGAGAGAAAACAAATAGCGCCGATGGTTTGCCGACTCTCGAGCACGCTACATACAACTGCCCGTGCGAAAAACATGGCAATTCAAGGTTTATTCCACACACTTCTAAAGATTGTCCTTGGGATTTATTAATTGACATTGCGAATGCAAGGCGCACCGGAAACTGGACACGCTTAAATTCAAAAGCAAAGTCAGTTGGTATTAGTGGTATTCTCGGAATAAGCACATCCTCGCCTTTGAATTTTCCTATAATTATAGTAGCTTCAATCAAATTTTTCATAATTTTTTTAACAGCGAGTCTTGTTCCATTGCACAATTTCGGCTGATTCAAATTTCGTAACATGATTATCACGGATCCAACCTTGAGCTGTAAATTGTGTGGCGGTAATCCTGGTAAATCCACTGAATTTAGAAACTCATTGGATAATTGACGACTTCATTGGGATCGGTAATGGAATCGATCGTCTTAAATGAATGTATTTGTCCATTAATTTGACTCTGAATTTTTGTATTTAAGTCATCTACGTCCTTATTTTTCGCCGCTAAAATGGCTTGTTTGCGCAACCAAGCATGGTTTTTGTAATTAGCATCAATATTTGGAAACACTTTCGAAATTAATCCTTCTTTTGACGTTGTGAATTGACAAAAATTTGGTGGAAACGAAATGAGGCCAGTAGAAGAGTCAACAGGAATTCTCCCATTGCCAATGTCTAATAATCCCTTTGAGAAAACTTCTGCTGATATGTCATTTTGCAACGCCACTCGCATGTTCGTTGTTAACTTGAGATTTTTCACATATCTCCATAAAATTGATGCCTTTAAGCATGCATTTATTTCATCAGCAGCTGTTGATCTAGGAATGATTGGCAGCGTTTGACGAAAATCTCCAGCCAGTAGAATCATCGCGCCTCCGAAAAGGATCTGATTGCTGCGCAAATCTCTTAATGTTCGATCTAGTGCCTCCAATGCTCGTTTGTGCGCCATCGTACACTCATCCCAAATTATTATTTTACAATTTTGTAGCACTTTCGCCATTGTTGATGTTTTGGTTATATTACATGTCGGTTCCTCTATAGTTTGCAAATTCAATGGCAGTTTGAGCGCAGAATGAGCGGTACGTCCGCCTTCTAACAATGTAGCGATCCCAGATGATGCTACTGCCAGCGCTATTTGACCTTGTGCTCGAATCGTATCTAAAATTAATGAAATTAAAAATGTTTTACCAGTTCCGCCGGGTGCATCGATGAAAAATATTCCTCCATTGCCGTCATTTACTGCTTTAATTATCGTATCGTAAGCTGTTTTTTGCTGCTGATTTAAAAGTGGCACCTTATTTTGTACGGTTTGACTCAAAGCATTTGTATCGTATTGCCGTTCTCGTTCGAATTCACGGTTGAATGCATCGTGCATGGGACGATTAGGCGCAGGCATACCTAATTCGTTCAACATCTTGCCGGACATCATCACGCACAAATCCTCCAAACATATCAAAACCTCATTGTATATCTCTGAGCAAATTTCAAGTTCTGGATTTGCCGTTATTGAACGTACTCGATGCAAAATATCTTCAGCCATATTGTCTTTGTATTTGTTCCACAAATTATATGGGCTCGATGGAAAGCACGTTGAAATTATGATGGCAAATAATGATCGAATTTGTTGCGAAGTAGACGAAATAACAGCATCAGTAAGTGTGTGATCCCAATGAACATCATCCTCTAGTAAATGTAAACGTTGACAGGCTTCTCTATATGTTGCGCACAATTCACCATCGACAGTTCGTAGAAATTGAAATGAATTTGGTCCACGAATATTAACTAATAACAAACGCAAGTAAAAACATTCGTCATTGCGCGGGTGAACTGTGTAAATGCGCCCCAATGCATCGGTTGAATATATATTCACGTATCCCGGTACAGGCTGTCCTTGTTTCCGACGTTGGAATTTTTTAGATGATGCATTCCATGTAAAATATTTTGGCATTTCCGAGTAAAGCAATGTTCTTGCAAATGGATCGCTTGCGCATGTCTCGAAGAAGCTTGTCAGCGTTGTCGCTGGTGGTCGTTCTGCTCTTTGCGCTGCGTTTTCTGCCGTGAAATAAACTCGTTGTCCATTCTCCAGGTGAACAGCTAAATGAACTACAGTGGAATGACGTTCGTGTATGGGAAATGAAATGATTCTCCAAACCGCCTCATTGCTACTAACATATCTTCCCATCTGATATGTTGAAATTTCATCGTTATTATTTGGACCTGCAATACCAAATACAGCCATGTCGTTTCCTTTCGTGACGTACTTGCAAACATATTTGATGGACTTGACCGAATTGCAGTACTCAACATTACAATGCGCTTTAAATGTTTTGGAAAGCAGCGGCGAATACGGAACAATCCAACAGTTGTTGACTACGACATCCTTATTTTTGACTTGCAATGTTATTGTTCTGCCGTTGTCTTCTATAGAACGACGACGATACAGGGGGTAGCCATCATTCCCTGTAATTGTATCAGCCAACAAAGCACGGGGATAACGCTTCGAGCATTTGTTGTCGATCATGCACGGTGATTCACGATTGTGTTCGCCACACGGTCCATGAATCATGTTCTTCTTAACTATTTCATACAATTCTGGATCTACTTCGGGATCAGGAATTTCTGCGCAAATGATCGAGTCAATTTCATCCGGTCTTATTTTTTCGACCATCCACAGGAGAATATGCGCATGAGGCAGTCCTCTTTTCTGCCACTCTACAGAATACATCCAACATCGTACGTCTCCGAAGATATGATATTTTACAATGAAGTCCATGAGCGCTTTGAGTTTTTGCTTGAACACTCGAGCGGTTATGTCGTGACGATCGCTGGATGATTGACCGGGTAATAACAGATTAGTGATTTCGATCCATTTTGGGTTGCATGTAAAAGTAATAAATAAATCTGGTCTACCGTATTGGCGCACGTAGGTCATAGCATCTTGCGCATATTCGTGCATGTGTCTCGGGCTTCCCATATACGTTGCTGGTAAAATAATAAGTTGGCCGACATTATTTCCATTTTTATCTGCGTTCATGGCATCGCGCAAATGAATGTATTGTTCAGAACGTAATTCTTTCTGGTGTAAACGTATATATGTCAGACGTTCCGTTTCAATTTTTACATACATATCAACGGCAAACTGATGAAACAATCGACGGCATCTCAAAATGTGGTTGTTCTCGCTTAGACGAATCATGAGACGGTATGCATAAAAATTCATCGAGCTGACCTTTTTGTTTGTTTCTTGACCAGTCGCTGGATTAATCATCTTGTTTTGAAAATGGTATCCATCTTCTCCTCTGCAAAATATTAGAGGGTATTGTAATGCATCATATGAACGATGTGTTTCACTGATACGCTGAAGTTTGCTACCATTACGTCGTTGAATTACAATGTCACGAGACTCCATATTCTCCCCAACAACCACAATGGCTTCGTTTAACATAGGTGCATTGAAGCGTCTCTCATGTTCTCCTGTTGGTTTTTTGTCTGCTCTGATCACTATTTTATGATCGTCCGACGGCATTATTTCAAGGGCTGTTTTAAACAATTGGACCAATTGATTGTGAGCATGCAACAGTTGTTGCAGTTGCACGATGATCTCTCTCCTAGCTGCATGATTGATGGCACAGCGTTGATTTATTTCAGCTTCAGAATTTCCGAGGAAATAAATTTGAAGAAATTTGTATTCCCCATCAACTGATGGCAACAATGCTCCTGCACGATGGTGAATTTGTCCTTGAATCTTAAAAGTTGGATTGAAACCCCTTTCCTCAATTATATTTGCACCAAATGATGTCATTTGGAATACACAGTTGTAATTTTGAATATTCTGCAAGAAATGCTTCGATAGAGGTTCTTGTCCTGAAAGTAATGAATTCAGTGGTTCAGGTGGCGTTGTAAGTTGTGGTAATTTGATCTTTCCGTTCGCACAACATAATCCTGTTGGTTCCAGTCGAAACCTCAAAGCGCTGCAATATTGACAAATTTTGTTCATTGTTCCAAAATCGACCGATTTATCTCCAGCGTAATCGACTGTTGGATCATATCTAAACGCCAAACGTTCATAGGTAATTGATACGTTTTGTCGCCTCTCACCTGAAGTCGACGGTATGGATTCTTCCGGAGCCATAGTAGATCTCGCTTGAGAAATTCGCATTCTGTTCGCCTCCAAACGCTGCCTACGCTCTTCATCAGTGTCATTGTTTCGAAGATTATAAACTCTCCTTGCGTTACGCGTACGCCGACCGATATTTTGACGTCTCACTGGTGGCATTTTCTTATCACGATAAACCTCGTCGACGAAAACAAAAACACACGAAACCTCAGAGGAAAGAATAGCACGAAGCACAGAAACAAAGTTTTGTTCGAAGATTATAAACTCTCCTTGCGTTACGCGTATGCCGACCGATATTTTGACGTCTCACTGGTGGCATTTTCTTATCACGATAAACCTCGTCGACGAAAACAAAAACACACGAAACCTCAGAGGGAAGAATAGCACGAAGCACAGAAACAAAGTTTTGCTTTTGTAATACAAAAGTAACGATAATTGAATATGAATGAATGTCAAGCTATCAATTCTGACATTTATTTTGTTAATCATATCTTCTTTTGTTAATCATATTAATGGCGCGATCTTCTAGTTACATTGCGATTTAAAATTACGGAAAAAAGAAAATTGTTTTTTTACGTCGTTCTGTTCAATTTTTTTAAAATTTTCTTTCATACAAACCTTGTCCTGATAATGACAAACAAAACAAAAAAAAATTATCTAATTTGGTGCAGTCGTTCTGAAGTTATGCGCGTACATACATTTCGGCGATTCATTTTTATTTATATAGATATATATATTTATTTTATATATTATATATATATATATATATATATATTTAATTTTTATATATGTATAAAACTCAAATCTAATAAAAGCATTATTCATATTAACTAACAATTATTATTATTGCCTTCATTACCAACCTCTTTCTTGATCTCCTTATATAACATACACATCTTATATTAGTAAAATTGCTAGCATTTCTTTAACTAATGAATTATTCATTATTCAAAAGTATGTCTTATGAGAAGTAGTATTTTTAATTTGGGGACCGAATTTCTCCAACGAGGGAGATATCACATTCTCGATCTTCTAGCAAAAATTTCTTCTTTTCTCACTATCCTCCAATAAGCTACAAGCACAAACTAACATGAAACTACGAGAGACACCTTTATATATCACCCATGATGTAAGTAGAAAGGTGAAACCATTGTGCATAATGACAGAGGTCTAAGATCTTAACCAATCTTAAACCAAGGTCTAAGAAGAACTTGAACTTTTAGGCAGCGCGCTATTTGAAAATTTCAAAAATGAAATAAGATTGTATCTAACGTAATTTGGATAAAAATATGTTGTATTTAATATAAATATTACAGAAGCGAAGTATGACTATACAGACTGTTTATTGCATATATGTTTGAGTTTTTTTTTAATAAGCAGCCATAATATTGAAGACAAGACAAAAAAATGATATGTATATAATTACAAATTATTATACTTGACAAACTGTAATAAATATATTATAATGTGCCATAATTGAGCACGAATTGTATTGGAATTTGTATTGGAATGCAAATATGAATCACTATTAATTAATTACAGGAGTAATTGCATAGTACATAATTAATTATGATTGAAGTACATAATACGTAATTATATTATATGATTAATTATATCGTCGAATACTGTTCATTTATCATAACATACACATTATGAGCACAACGAATGTATGTGTAATATTTGTGTATATGTGTGCTTCTCTATCATATGTCATATCTTGTATCTTTATTTATGATATAATGTGTATCATCGTGCTGATGAAATTGGTAATTGTGTCACATTATATTTTATTCACAAAAAGCATACCATGTTGCAATATGTTATATTATCATAGATAAATGCTAATGTCATCCGATTGTTGACGAATTTATTGCAACACTCACATAAGCAATTGATTGGAATGACAATTGCATCAATTTCTAATCATGTCACATGATTGACGTCATGACCGTCATGACGCAGTCGATTTAACATTATTCTCATAATTCGCAAATTTACATACGAAATGTCATTAAATCACTTTTTTATAAGCAGCCATATTGAATTTTGCATAAAAGCTCAAAGCGCAATTGGCTGACTGTCCCCCACTTATTTTAATCTACTGCGCATCTATCAGAATGATTCATCTTTCTACTTACACCATGACGTCACCTAATATATAATAATAAAATGCGAATCTGAGAGAGAGAGAGAGAGACATATATGAATCATCTATACGAAATGGACTTATACAGGGTGGCCGATTTATCTGAAGACATCAAAATATCTCGAGAACTATGCATCGGATCAAAAAAAGTAGGTAATAAAAGTTGTTTGTCTCGAAGGGGGACATCCAATGATACCAACCTCGACTGTCGCGACGCGCCACTGTGGGCGTGTGGCGAAGTACGGCTTATTATAAAAGGCAGTGCAGTGCGATCAGAGGTCACTTTTCTTTCAGAATTAGAACTAAAAGCATTTCTAACAATTTCATTTTACTTGACTAGTTTTTATTGCCTGTACATCTATTCTTCATTCCTCGAACAGAATTGCAAGTGGAAAATGAATCCTGCAACGGTAGAAGAAAAAATTGAAATTGATTCTGATTTATGGTGAATGTAGGAGGAATGTTGACGATGCTGTTGCCTAGTATGCTGAGCGTTTTCCAGACAATGTTCGCTCATGTTCTTTTTACCCATTTTGATTTTTGTTGATTACAGCGCCATCTGTGAATCAAAATGCAAGAACTCGTAGGTCAAATTGGGGTACTTTTTTCTGAAGAATCCAAATCTACAATAAAAAATGGGGGTTCCTATTTAAGTTTTTTATCTTCCCCCATCTCCACCCCCAGGAGGTGGCGGTAGAGGGTCGAGTTTGGTATCATTGGATATTCTCCTTCGACATGAACAACTTTCATTACCCACTTTTTTTGATCCGATGCATAGTTCTCAAAATATTTCAATGTCTTCAGATAAATCGGCCACCCTGTATGTAACACGTGGAAAAGACAAGGATCGATATAAGAAGATCCTTTTAAATATGAACTTCTTTTATTACAAATTATATAAAAATAATGTAAAATATGTTTAAAAGATTAAGGAGAATCTATTTATGTAAAAATCACGATAAATGACCAATATTTTAAATAATTATTAAATAATTATTGTAAATCTTTGAAAAGGGTCATTTATCGTAATTTATTGTAACTACTATAATGTATGTAGGACACGACCTTGCAAGCAATGCATTCGGAGAATCAGTTAATATTCTTAGAAAACTTTCTCTTAAAGACCACCCAAGAAGTTCACAAAAATCTTTTTCATAGAATAAGCCAAGGAATTTGTTCTTAAAATTCTGTCATAAATTATCCCTACCAATTTAAAAAATATATAAAAACCATTGAATAAAAAGTAAAGGAAGGAGCATTTGCCGGATTTTTAAGAATGGAGGATGATGCCGACTACGTCACACTTTGTTTATTATGGCGGACTTGACGTCATCTCACGAATATAAGATGTGTGTGTGTAGCAGTAAGTAATGGCAAGTAGTGGTAGTGCGGTTAAAATTCTTCAATATATAAGTAATTTTAATAAGCAAATAATTCATTAAATAAAAAAAGTGATTTGCTGCGTTTGTGGATATTCTAAAAGTATTGATCATAATGGTTTTCCTGTGTCTTATCATTTGCAAGTAATATAAGATAATATTTTTATAAGTTTATAGATTAATTTCTCAAGTAAAATATTTGATATAAAAAATGGCATATAAAAGAAATATAATTAATATTTATTATTTTGTTATTGAATTCCAGATACGACTGAAAAAGTTATTAATTGAGCATTTAAATTTAATGTCACTACATGATGTCATTTGTGACGTCATAGATTGTTCGGTTCTGGCTTCATTTTTTCGGACAAATGCTACTTCCTTTACTATATTATATCGATATACGACAGAATATTATATTCTAAGATAAAAACACTTCCGACAATGGAAGAAAGAGTATTCTCATAGATTCACTCCAGACTTAAACTCACTCAGATTCTTACTTATACTGTAAATCGCTAGATCAAGTCAATTCAGAATAAAGAATTCAAATTTTAAAACAAGAGTATACTTCTTTAATCATCATCAGTGAAGAAAACCAAGGCAATTAATTATATCCTGAGATTTTATCTCCTTAATCGCAAGAAGAACTCACTAAGACGTTCTGTTGAATTCATAAACTGTTGGAAGATTCCGTATTACGGAACCACCCAGGTAGCAAGCACACGTCATTTTGACGTTCCAAACTGGTCATTTTTGGTCATATGTCGTCAAAATGACTGATTTATTACATGACTTTATATTGACGTTTTGATACAACATTATTTTAACGTCATTTTTCAGTCATGAAGTGACGATTATTTTATTATTAATATCATCAGTTAGTACATCGATCCCATAAAAAAATCTTTTAAAATTTTTTATATACTCGTAACATGACTTTCGTAATCAGACTTTAACAATTGTTAAAGTAAAATTCACTGTAAAATCAGTAAATTTCACTGTAAAACCAATAATCGCTAGTTCATTCGTTTACAGCTATGATCGCTATCTCCCTCGTATTTAGTTTTAGTTGTGAGCATTACATAAAGTTTGCAAAGAAAGATGACAGATAAAATTAGAAATATTACTTCGATTTAATTTCTTATACAATTTCAATAGAAAGGCTTCAGATAAATCGATTTTATAAGTCGGACAAATAAATGTCTGGCTACTTAATGAAAATTATTCGTTCGTTATTTATTTAAAATAACAAGTTCAATATACATGTAATATAAATAAAATAAAATTTTTAATATAATAAATATTTAGTAAATATAAATAAAATTTTTAATTTTATATATTTAATATATTTTATATATTATATATATATTTTATATATTTTATATAAATAAAATATATAAATATTTATATATATATTTTATATATTTTATATATATTTTATATATTTTATATATTTCATATATTTATTTATATTTATATATATTTAT